GGTAATTTCTTTTGACGTGAAAAAACTTCTCAGTAAGAGCAGGTCCCAGTTGTTAATTCTTTTTAATGTTTCCTGTGTGATTTGATTTTTTGTTCATGAAGTCTTTGCCTACCCCTATGTCTTCAAGAGTTCCTCTTACTTTCTCTTCCAGGAGATTTAGTGTCTCTGCTTTAATGTTTAGGTCTTTAATCCATTTTGACTTTGACTTAGCACATAGTGATAGACCTGGGTCAAGTTTTAGTTTTCGACGTGTAGAGAGCTACTTTTTTCTGCACCATTTGTTAAAGAGGCTATCTTTCTTCCAGTGAGTATGTTTGACCCCTTTGTCAAAGATAAGGTGGCTGAGTGTGTTCGTAGGGACTTCAGCGCCTCCTAATCTATTACATTGATCCTCAGGTTTATTTTGTTGCCAGTACATGCTGATTTTATCACAGTAGCCTTTTAGTATAATTTCAAGCCAGGAATTGTAATGCCTCCTGCCTTGTCTTTATTGAATAAGTGGCATTTCTGTGTAAAAGTATTTTTAATTTGACATATTTGGACATTATGAACATCTCTACCAAAAAATAATAGTCAAGAGGTAACTAAACAATTAAAAATATAATACATATATGAAGCTATTACTTTTAGAAATTTATTAGGAAGTTGGATTTTTAACCAGGCATGGTGATACATGACTGTAATCCCAATACTCTATAAGGCTGAGACAGGAAAATTGCAGATGTTGGCTTAGCCTGGGCCATTTAGACAGATCCTGTCTCAAAATTTAGAAAATGGCTTGGTGTGGTGGTACATACCTGTAATCCCAGCACTTGGGAGACTGAGGCTGGAGGATTGCCATGAGTTTGAGACCATACTGGATTCTAATGGGTTCCATCCTCAACTGCAAGTGAGAGACCCTGGATTTAATCCCTATGTCTACAAAAAGGAAATACTGTAGTTGATTAAAATTAAATTTATATGACAGGATGTTTGTCCATGATGTCCCCTCTCTCTTCTTAGAGATAATTGAGAACCCAGTGTTCTTTTAAGACATCCCATGAATTATTTTTGATAGGGAATAAAAATCATGATAGGTTATAGCCATATATACATTGCTGGTATTGAGAATAACGACTTGGCATTTTGCAGGATGAAGAACTGCTCTCCAGACTTTAAAAAGATGGCTGATCATGATCAGCTAACAGGTTTGGTGCATTCAACCTCCATTCACAGGACTGTTCTGAGCTCCTCAAGTGCAGCATTGGTATGAAAGATTTTAGTCAGGAAGTATGATGAAATCAAAATTTTGCTTTGTCTCTGGTAGCTTTATTTTCACCTCTCAAAGTTCCTGTAATTACAAATCCACTTTATTTGTTTGACTCTTGTTTGAATGATTCTACACTACACTCAACTCTTTTCTTGAATATTTCTTCTTTGTAAGGCAGTCCTTTGAATTTCAGCATTCTCAGTTTACTTGTATGTAGGTAGGTCTAACTGCTTGAGGTCTAACTGCTTTTGTTGATGATAATGATATTACTGAATTTTGGCTTATCCTATTTTCTTTTTTTTTTTTTTTTTTTTAATCAGGGTGTGAACTCAGGCCCTTGCGCTTGCCAGGCAAGTGCTTATTCTACTGAGCTATCTCCCTGGCCCTTCTAATCCTCCTTCTAATAATTTCAATTTATTTCTTGGATTTTTGTTAGATTTGGGTTCTTTGCTGTGCTGAAGATCCAGCTGAGGCCTTGCATGTGGTAGGCAAGGGTGTACTACAGAATCACATCCTTACCTTTTACATAATGTAATGTTCTAATGTTAAAATAAGAAATACAGCAAATTCCAAAATACTCCTGAATGATTTTTATTAAAAATCACTGATGAGTGAGGGGAGGGGAACAAGCACTCTAATCTTGCTATCTTTTGCTTCAAGTTTATATCTCAATGTAGCCAAATTATAATACTTATTCTTAAAAGCTCTGTAGTTTTATACATGTGCATTTATTGACATGGTAAATTGTCTAAGATGATCACAGGGCACAATCTTTTTTAAAAAATATATCTTTATGAAAATAATCTAGAATGCTATAATCAAAGTTTAGTGATAAATAGTAAACAGGATTAAGATTACTGCTTTTTTTGCTTGATTTCAAATTGGTACAATGTCTGTATTATGTAACCAAAATGGTAAGTTGAAGTTTTCACAACTATAATATGTATCTAAACGTCTATTATATTTTGTGTTTGTATTTGGCTCTCCTCTCAGGAGACGAAAACTACAGAAGAAATTGATGAAGCACTGAAGATTGCAGGCTATAATTTTGAACAATTAAGTATTGCTGTAAAAGTAAGCATTTGAATAATTAAGTTCTAATAATGAATGAACAAATTCTAAAAAGTTACGCATGTCCTTTCCTTTTTTTGTCTTTTTTGACACAGGGTTTCACTATATAGCCAGGCTAGCCTTGAGTGCACTGTGTAGCCCAGGCTAGCCTCAAGCTCACAGCAGTCCTTCTGCCCAGGCTCCCAAGTGCTGGGATAATAGGGGTGTGCAACCCTGGCATAGCATGTCCTTTTTAAAGAATGAAAAACTCGTTACATGGCCTACTAGAGTTGGGTTAGTGGCATTGTTTTGTTAGCACCCTAATGAAATTGGAACTTTATTAAGAAGGTGTGACTTACACTTCCTGAGAACAGAATTTTGTCTCAGAAGTATTATAGACCATCTTTCCAGTGTTCAGATGAACATTATTTTCTGATTGAGAGTCTTTATTCTCTTTTTCTCCCTGCTCTGCCTAGCAAAAAGAAACTTTTGGTGGCAAGGAACAAGCTCTTAAGGACCAGTCAACAACAAATTTACTATAGCTGATTGTGGTTTTAACTGATTTTCTCCATAGAAGTACATTTTTGATTGGCCAGAAGTCACTGTAACAAGTTAGCTTTCTCAAAAGGATTGAAAATTTAATAAAAGTAACAGGACTGAAGAACTACGAGAGAAGAAAAACATTGAGAAAACAAAGAATGTTACCTGAGATGAGAAGCAGTTACAAGATAATTATCACATATAGGAGAAAAGAAAATCTGTGATAGTCTTCATCTGAATTTGGGAGGGGCACAGTTTAACTCCACACAGAGTACCTCCGTAATCTTTTCTTTTACAATGCAAAATATATCCACCATATTTCAACATCCCTAAAGTCTTAAGGTCCCATTCCAGCATCAATTCTAAGTCCAACATCTCATCTAAGTATCTTCTAAGTCAGGTATGGGTGAAACGCAGGGAACACTTCATCTTGGAACGAAATGTCTTTGCACAGTGACCTTGTGGATACAGATGAGAAATGACCTGTTTCTAAAACAGTGGTGCAGGCCGGGGAGATAGCTCAGCAGAATAAGTGCTTGCCTGGCAAGCACGAGGGCCTGAATTCAATCCACAATTCCACAAACAAACAAACAAAAAACAGTGGTGAGACAGACACAGATCAGCATTCTCATTCTAAAAGGGAGTAATTTGGAGAAGAGGGGTCATACATTCTAAGCAACAATTTTTTAAACTGTTGTAAAATGTGAAATGTGTGAAATCGCTAATGTTTTAATTCAAGTGTAGTTTCTAAGTTAGTTTATAGTCCACGTTTGCAGGACACAATGATTACATTCTTCCTGAAGAATAACTGCATGTGCATAACACATGTTCATTGTTGGTAACCCTTTTTCCTTTTTCACCCTTCTATATCTTCATCCCCTGCCATAGAGAAATTCATGTGTCCAGAATAATTTGTGTCCTGTCCCACCTGCTTGGGAGGCTAAGGCAGAAAGATCCTCAGTTTGACAAAGATCCTCAGTTTTACTAAAGACTCTGTCTCCAGAAACAAAATTTAAAAAATAGATTTCAAAAACTTATCAGTGCTTTTTAAAGTCTTTTTGCCATGTTGTCAGTATAAAATGGGGGTAAAAATGTTGTTTTGGCTAATGAGTACCAGAATTTAAAGTTGAACTTGGTAGTTTTGTCTGTTTATTATCATCTAATTCTTGTGTTCGTATTTTGGAAAGTCTAGAAAATACTTTTACTTTCAAAATTATATTGACAGTACAACTTCTCTGAAGTAAAAATACCAAATTAAATCTTTGAATTATCTTTTCTAGACACTTGAGCTCACACAGAATCAAACTAAAGAGGAGACAGACGGTCTTATAGAGATGGTTGAGAAGCAGTTTGATAAACTTTTTGCTTCTCTTGTTTCCAGGTAATATCTTAAAAATAATGATACAATGAAACTGAAGTTTTTAACATTAACTTGCCCTTTGGTTTCTTTAATAAATTTTATTTATTTATTTATTTGATACAGGATCTTGCTACACAGGTCAGACTCGTAGTGATCCTTCTGTCTCAGGCTCCCCAGCTTTGATATTACAAGCATGCGCCACCATGCCCAGCTTTAGGGCTGGCATGGTGCACCTGGGGTTCTGGGGCTGACACAGCATGTGTTACCAGGGATCAAACTCAGATCCCTTTGCTTAGCAGGCAGGTGCTCAGACCACCGAGCTATCTCCCTAGCCCTGTTTCTTTTGTTTAGATTAATTTAAATAGGTTTAAAAGGTAAGCATAGTCTCTACAGACTGATTTTTAGAACTTCAAATTGAAAAACATTTTTTATTGTACTGGGAATTGAACCCAGGGCCTTTACACTGAGCTACATTTCCAGCACTTTAAAAGATTTTTTTGTGTGTGTGGTGTTGGTTTTTTTTTTTTTTTTTTTTTTTTTTTTTTTCAAACAGGGTCTCACTAAGCTACCCAGGTTGGACTCATCTGCAGTCCCTTTGCCTCAGTTTTCCAGAGTGCTGGGATTAATAGCATGCACTGCCACAACTGGATGAAAACTTTTTTTTTTTCTTTAGATGGCTATGTATCTTCTAGATCTAAAAGTAACTTTTATTTTTCTGGTACTGGGGTTTGAACCAAGAGTTTCTGACTGAGCTGTAACATTGTTAATTACCTTCTTACCTAAGGCAGCTCAGAAAAATATTTCAAATCCTAAATTGAGCTATGGAACTCAACATATTTAGGAAAATATAGAACTTAAGCTTTCCTCCTACATAGTTTTGTCTTTTTATCGTGTGCTTATTTGCATCAGAGCAGAAGGCTAATAGGCACTACTAAATGAGTAATATGTATACTGTTTTCAAAGCTTCTTGATATGTATTATTTTTAATTAGATCATATAGGTAATGTAGGCATTCTTTCCATGATGTGTTTAAGCAGTATCATAAAATTTTGTGATGTGTTCGGACTCATATACTTAGTACCATCACTTGTTCACTTGACTTCTCAGTCAGTACTTTTAAGTAAATGTCTCTGTATGAGGCCTGCACATAGACCTGATCTACTGTGCATAAATTGGGTTTGTTTGTAGCACTGGCAATCAAAGCCAGGGTCTCATGCATGCTAGACCAGTGCTCTGTTACTAAGCTCTAGCTCCAGCTTGTGGGTGATACTATTTATTATCCATATTAGAGCTGTCTGACAGTTGCTCTTAAGCTTTAACATTCAAGTGATAGGTCATATGCAGGAGTATGGAGGTGATGGTATTTTGCAAAAATATGCATAACAAAAATTTTTAACAATTTTTCTTTGAAAGATAATTACTTTTGTTCCTTTTTAATCATTTTTAAATTGGTTAAAACCAGTTTAGTGGTGTGTAGTAATTCTGTATATAACTTTTTGAGGAACACATGAACCTTTTAGCATGGTGGCTGTACCATTTTACTTTCCCACCAGCAGTACCCAAGAGTTACTTTTTTTTTTTTTTTTTTTT